CTATTTCCTTAAACTATAGAACTTATTAATCTCACTAAAGCAAACCATAATAATAATATTGACAGAATCTTTCTCATCCAAACATTTTTTATTAATCTATCTTATTAATATGCTTTTTCAATTCCAGGCAGCACAAATTAAAAAGTAAACTTCTTTTTCATTTATATATATATATATATAAAAATTAATTTCAAGTGTGATCACATCTGAATCGATATTTGGAATTAATTAATTCAGAAATACCAACAAATTAAAAATGCAATTTACAACATCTTTATAAATAAAATCATATAATTTCTTCTTAGATTTTGCGAATTTTTTCTAAACTTTCTAAATTTTTATACACCAATAGTTTTAGAGCTATAATATTTATCCTCTATTTTACTTTAATTTATTAAATGAATTTCGAGATTTGGACAAACTCTTCTTTATATTTTTTAAAATAATGGATTCTATTCCATCTCAAATTTAAGCTATGGATAACATTCAGTTTAAATTTATAAATAGATTAATCTTTTGTTATTGTTGTCTAAACCAAAAAATATTTTATTTTTCAAATCTATTGCTTTTAATCTAATTATTATCTAATATATTATTAAAATAAATGTTTGAATTAATTCTTCATTACTTCTAATATAAATATCTTAAAATTATTGGGGAACCAATTCAAAATTTTCTGTATTATAAGCAATACAAAATAAATTATTCATTTATTTCAATAATTTATTAATATTGATATCTTTGATATTAAAATCAACTTCTGAAAAGCTATTAATTTAATTAAACTACCCTAAAAAATACATACAATGAATTTTAAGTCTAGAAATCTATTACTAAATATTTTAACATAATTTTAAGTTAGACAATAAAAATAATTATTTTTTTAAAAAACTCACAGTAATAGATTAGTTATTATTTAAACATTCTATTAACTGAAGTTTTATTTATTCAAATTTTTCTTAATTTTATTCATTAAAAGTTATCAGGTAGTATTTTTCTCCCAAAAAGCATTCAGTATAATTAATGCTTAAAGTATCATTTTTATCAATACCATAAACATTAAGACTTTTTGTAAAAATATCATCATATTTTTCCTAAAATTGAGATATTCTTGATAAGATAAATTATTCTAATGACATCTATTCAACAAAATAATTCCTTAAGAAATTCCTTAAATTTTTTGAATGGCCATTTGATTCATCCCAATTGATAGATGTTATTTTGCTTCCCAATTTTAAATTAAATTACTAAGTTTTTTAATCAAAATTGATCAAAAAAAATTAATTTTAAACTAAAAAAGTTATAAATTTAACTAAAGATATCTATCATATATATTTATACTTAATTATTTAGAAAAGCATTCTTAATTAAAATTGTTTTTCAATCGTTTTTGATTATAATAAACAAATTAAAGAATCACAAAATCTCCTATCAAT